CAAAATACCACCATGTTGGCTGTCTCTCTGACTTTCTCGCTCTGCTCACTTATCTCCCAATAAGGTCCTGTTTTCATGCACTTGTTTGGACACAGTTCAGATCTTACTTGTCATGGCTGTAAAAGGAGACAGTGAAATGCTGTAAAAGTAGGAGGTGAAGTGGGTGCTGGAAGAGAACCTTGCTGGTGGCACAGTGATGGGCCTGATGAGATGGCAGGGAGGGTGGGGTCCCCTGCTGGAAAGCCGAGGGTCACAGCTGGCTTTATTTGCCCAGAAAAAAGCTATTGTGGCCCTGGCAGCCTCCGTCAGTCCTCAGCCAGAACCCTGGGTGCACAGGACCTGTTTGCATATGTTTTGCTTCCTTGGGAACACACCCACTTATCATGTCATTGGCACAGATAACATGGTGCGCTTTGACCATTCAGCAATGCGTTACTGCTGTAGTCAAGATTAGGGCAAGCAGGGAGACATTCCCAGCAAGGTATTTGTTTCCATTTTCTATCTATGCTTCTGTCAGAAACTTGCTAGGACTTTTAGTAGCTAATAAAAAAGAAATTTCTGATTTCAACCTTACACAAGAATTGTGGATTTTTGCTTATTTGTTTGTCTTGCCATTTGACAAACTCCAGTAGTGGTCACTCTTCTGATAAGTCTGCCTTGCCGAACACTTGCAAGGGCAGGTTTTCATCATTATGATCTTGGGAATTTAGTAAATAAATGGAACAGAGAAGGCAAAGTGCTGAAAACTGCCTTTGGGCGTCAGAAGAAACGAACGTGGCATCTAATCTTTCATCACAAGCGTCTTGATTTCAAAATAATAGTAGGGTGGCTTTGAGCTGAGATTCTAAGGAACTAGTTATGAAGTTTATCAGCAATGGAATACAACTTGCCTTGTGGCTTTGGTTCTCATCATCTTTAAAGTGGAGGTCCATGGGACTTCCCTGGTGGCGCAGTGGTTAAGAATCTGCCTGCCAGTGTGGATTCGAGCCCTGGTCCGGGAAGATCCCACATACTGCAGAGCAACTAAGCCCTTGTGCCACAACTACTAACCCCACGTGCCACAACTACTGAAGCCCACACGCCTAGAGCCCGTGCTCTGCAACAAGAGAAGCCATCACAATGAGAAGCCTGCACGCCACAATGAAGAGTAGCCCCCGCTCGCCGCAGCTAGAGAAAGCCTGCACTCAGCAACGAAGACCCAACCCAGCCAAAAATTAATAAACAAATGTATTAAAAAAAAAAAAGAAAGAAAGAAAAAAAAAGAAAGTGGAGGTTGATGACAGCACAACTAGATACACTCAGGCTTAGACAGCTAAGCTTATTTTTCAATATTTTTTCTCAAGTTGCTGAACTTTTCATCATGTCGAACTTTGAAGTTCAAATGTAAATTAATCCTCATTTAAAAATCCTGTTTCTTTATTTCACTATGGAGTCATGTGTGTCCAGCAACACAAATATAATTCATTCATTCATTCAGCAAACACCAGTTGAACAACTACTCTATGCAGAGTCCTGGGTTTCTTTGGTGCAGCAAACGGATGCATAAAATATTATCCCTGCTCCTGTGAGTTTGTAGTTTGGGAACAGGAGGCTATGGCAAACATGCACAATGAATCAGGTAGACATGAAGGTTACAGCCGCGGCACAAGCAACCGGCTGTGGGAATACACAGAGAGACTGACTCAGAGATGGAAGGCACTAGCACCTAAGGGATTTCCCAAAGAGTGGAGTTTCCTGGGCCTGATAACCATTTCTATAATTTCACCAGGGGTGAATGTAGCAAGAACAAAGACTAGAAGTGGAGGGGTAGGATGGCTGGAGAAGAGGCTTGCTTTGGGTCTAGTGAGAGGTTGGCTTGCATGAGTGGGGCTGAAGCAGACACAACGTTATAAATATCAGACGAAGCAAATTCTTGGGCCCAACTGCGGAAAGAAGCAGCGGCACAGCCACCTATTTTTACGGAGCGTTTTCTCAGCGAGGTTGCAAAAGGGAAGGTCCTCTAGTGGCTCAGGACACAGCCTGCCTCTGGAACCTGCTTCCGATCACACTGCCAAGGTATGAATTCTGCTTTACATAAAAGTCAAGCTTCTCTTGCTGAGCTATACATGCACATCCTCTTGCCTTACCCTCGGGAGAAGTGAAAGACAGGAAGTCACCCTTCTGCACATAATGTTCTTTGGTTCTTAAAGACAGAGCTTCAGCCACCAGTCTCTCTTAGCAGTAGATGACTGGAGAGGCCCACGAATGTTGTGGGGACCACAGGAGAGAATCGTGGAAGGGACTGTGGATAGAGTATGGCAGCTGTCAGGCCCCTCCCGTGATCGGCTAGGATTGAGGTATCCACTCACTGCACCACGTGCTTCCAGAGCAATGACAAGCACCAGTGTATATAATGCAGTGATTCCCAAAGAGGGCAGTGCCACTACCCACCCAGGGAGTGTTTGGGAATGTGTGTGTATGTGTGCCAGGGAGGTGCTTAGTGGGAGGGGACCAAGGATGTGAAGTCTGCTGTGTCAGCCAGTCCCCTAGATCAAAAAGTTGTTTTGGGGGCTTCCCTGGTGGCGCAGTGGTTGGGAGTCCGCCTGCTGATGCAGGGGACACGGGTTCGTGCCGCGGGGCGGCTGGGCCCGTGAGCCATGGCCGCTGAGCCTGTGCGTCCGGAGCCTGTGCTCCGCAACGGGAGAGGCCACAACACTTAGGGGCCCTGGTACCGCAAAGAAAAAAAAAAAAAAAAAAAAAAAAGTTGTTTTGCCACATCTATGATTCTTGAGTTTCTTGACTGACCTTGGAAATGGATAGACAGCCATTATTAAATGATTGAGATCCTTTATCAATCTTACTGATCCAAGGTGCAGCCTACATCTACCGTATTCTTGGCGCAAATAGTGCTGCGTGATGTTGCAGGCTGAAGGGCTTGCACAAGACATGAAGGCTTTCTGCACAGGATGATGCAGATCCCGTGGTGGCACAATGGGCTGACAGTTGGCCACACTGAGCCAGTGTTCTCTGCAGGTAATACAGGCAATGACAGGGTTAATGGCATGGTGACTTCTGATTGGCCAGCGTGGCTCAGTGTAAGGCACAGGATTTACCTTGGCAACACATCCATCAGCCACGGCCTGTGGCCGGTGTGGGGAATTTGAAATGCACCTGCGGGAACTGGTAGTGATATAACAGATGACTCCATTTTATTGCTTGATTACCCACCGGCTACTCGCCAAACACGTGGACCCTGATATCCCAGACACCTGCCTTGAAGAGATTTCCATTCCTGAGTGGTGAAGGGGCTGAGACATCATGCGCCTTTGGAAATGAGGTAACTCCCAGTAAATCAGTCTTTGGCCCTTCAGAGGTTACAAACAGCAAGAGATTATCCGAGGCGGCAGAGCTTAGCAGAATGCCTGCTCCACTCCGACCAGCTGGAAACGTCATCAGTGGACGGTTCATGCGGCTGACGACCCACTTGGTATGTGCATCAGCCTAAGTTGTCGTGTCATGGAGCATAGAATATGGTGAAGGGATGCGGTATAAACCCATGTCTTTATCATCTTCCCATGTCTTTTAGCACCTAGTGTGTGCCTTACAAAATAGGTGGGCTGGGGAGATACCTCACCAAAGACAGTGTGCTTAAGTAGACTCTTAAAGGATGGATACGAGTGGGAGTTTTTGAGTGGAGGGGCCCAAAGTATACACCCTACATTTCAGGTGTGCAAAAGATGCAGCACAGTGTGTTCTATAACTGACCTTGTCATGCTCATCTTCTGGGGGTGGAGGTGGCTCCTTAGATGTGATAAGATTAAAACACTGGAGAGTCATCACCTCTGAGAATTTCCCTTCCCTTGTTGACACGTGAGCCCCCCACCCCGCCGTTCACATTTCAGAGGAGGTAACGGGTCAAGACTGCACTTTCTCATAGTCTAAGTGCCCTGCCTGCCATTCACAGAATCGTGGTTCTCAATTCATCACCATTAAATTGATCATAAACTTCAGGAGGAAGAGGGGATACAATGGCTACTCCCCCTGAGTGAATCTTCCAGGGGTGGCCAATGAATTCTCATTAATCACAACAGGACACTTTTTGTTCTTTTTTACTTTTCATTTTATATCGTATAGCCAATTAACAATGTCATGATAATTTCAGGTGCAGAGCAAAGCAACTCCACCATACATATACATGTATCCATTCTCCCCCAGATTCCCCTCCCATCCAGGCTGCCACATAACACTGAGCAGAGTTCCCTGTGCTATATAGTAAGTCTTTGTTGGTTATCCTTTTTAAATATAACAGTGTGTACATGTCAATCCCAAACTCCCTAACTATCCCTCCCCTCCACCCTTCCCCCCACCCCGTAACCGTAAGTTCATTCTCTAAGTCTGTGAGTCCGTTTCTTTTTGTAAATATGTTCATTTGTATCACTTCTTCTTAGATTCTGCATATAAACGATATCATACGATACTTCTGTTTCTCTGTCTGACTTACTTAACTCAGTATGACATCTCTAGGTCCATCCATATTGCTGCACATGGCATTATTTCATTCTTTTTTATGGTCGAGTAATATTCCATTGTGTATATGTACCACTTCTTCTTTATCCATTCCTTTGTCAATGGACAATTAGGTTGCTTCCATGTCTTGGCTGTTGTAAACAGTGCTGCAATGAACGTTGGGGTGCATGTATCCTTTCGCACCATGTTTTTCTCCGGATATATGCCCAAGAGTGGGATTGCAGGGTCATATGGTAGTTCTATTTTTACTTTTTTAAGGAACCTCCTTACTGTTCTCCATAGTGTCTGTACCAATTTACATTTCCACCAACAGTGCAGGACGGAACCCTTCTCTCCACACCCTCTCCAGCATTTATCGTTTGTGGATTTTCTGATGATGGCCATTTTGACTTGTGTGAGGTGATATCTCATTGTAGTTTTGATTTGCATTTCTCTAATCCTCAGCGATGTTGAATACCTTTTCGTGTGCCTCTTGGCCATCCGTATGTCTTTCTTGGAAAAATGTCTATTTAGGTCTTCTCCCCATTTTTTGACTGGGTTGTTTGTTTTGATGATATTAAGCCAGATGAGCTGTTTGTAGATTTTGGAGACTAATCCCTTGTCGGTCACATCATTTGCAAATATTTTCTCCCAATCTGTGGGCAACAGGACACTTTTGTCTGACTCGCCCAGTGGGTTTTAATTGGTAGGCCTCGCAAAGGCAGGATTTGTTGTGGGTAGTAACCATGTTTCTGATGCTTGCTTCAGAGTACATTTGTTTTTTTTGGTTTTTTGTTTTAAAAAGGCAATAAATGCCTATTAGTCGTATTTCTTTATGAAAGGCACATGGCTCATTTTCTGACTCAATAGTTGATGTTCAATGATGTTAGGCTTTGCAAAAAGATTAACTCATCTGGATGTTGTGTTCCACATGGAGAATAAAATTTTGACTTACACTCTATTGATTTTTTTTTCTGATACAAAACAGCAAAAAAGGGGAAAGTTTAAGTACAAAATTTATTGCAGGAAAGAGATTAAAACAATTTTCTTATGTAAACCAAAATTACATTTGTCTCACATGACTACCAGTAGTTGGAAAAACCATCTATTACAAATTCAAACTCTGGACGATAGCCCAGTCATAGAGCTTGTTCAGGTCAGTGAATGTGCTCAGACCCCGAGGAAAATTTCAGGATAACCATCTCCGTAGAGGAATAGAAAGAGATGACAAGAGAGAAATAATAAATCGCCTTGCTAATAAATGACCGCCTTCCTGTTGGACAACCACGAGTGACCTTCATGTCCAGTTATGTTCTTGATATCAAGGATTCAAATCACAGATGCCCAAAGTCCTGCTTTGTGTAAAGAAACCAGGATTTCCTTTTATGGCTTCCTGTGTATTTGTCAGGACATGCTTCATCTGAGCACTCAGCAATAACAGGGAAGAGGAGGCTAGAGAGGCCCCATCCCATCTCTACAACCCTTATCCTCTTGAAAGCTCTCCATCCTTCCCACCGCTGTCCAAAGCCCTCCTGTGCCCGTTCACCGAGGCTGTCTGTTATCATTAGGAACCATCTTTCATCATCAGTGTAAGAATCAGATGAAAGGAAATTACACCAGGAGGTGAGGGCCAAGCTCCTAGGCAGAAAACGGAGGGCTTATTTACATTTTAAAAGAGCAGCCAGACTGTTAACCCTAAAGCAACCTTTGCTGCCTCTCTTTAAGATAATGCTGCAACCCTGGGGCTCCACTTCCTGTTAGGGCCCACTTCCTCAAGTGGGAGACAACTGTTCCCTGGGAGGAGGAAGTAGGACAGGATTAGCACAACCTAGCACAAAAGTGTGAAGTCAATATGTCTTCCCATGCCCCTCTAGGAAGCTTTCTTCACCCTCCTGGAAATAACTGTATGTTGTTGGAAAGGTTTCTTAACTTCTCAAAGTCTCGATTTATGCATCTGTAAAATGGGAATAACCATAGCACTTATCTCTGAAGGCTATAGTGAGGGCTAAATAAAAAGCGTAAAAAGTTCATAACAGTGCCTGTGATATAAAAGGCATTCCCCAATTGTTAGATATTAATCCCAACATAAAGTCCTCACTTGATCAGGGAGGAAACTGAGGCCCGGAGAGATGAAGGTTCTTGCTCAAGCTCTAAAGCATCAGGCTGCATCTCCTCCCACCATTCTGCCACCTGATTTGTCCTCTTGTATTAAAACTTATAATAAGATATAATGAAGCTGACGAGGAATCACTGGGCTTTAAAATAAATGTCCTAAGTCTAAAAGTGCCTGGATCTGTATCTTGAGACACAAAGAATTTTCTGTTAATGATTAAGGTACTACAATATAGTCTCCTTTCTTTCAAATCCTAGAGATTTACAGGGGGGGTTCTCTGAAATATATGTGTATTTTAAAACTTTTCAAGATTTATGTCCAATTCTGTATTAATACAACCTATGGCTAGTACAAATTCTTTTTTTCCTGAATCCTGTGTATGATGAATTTTTAAGTATTCTCTTTATTCAACTTGAGTCTCTAAGAAATCTTATCATATATGCTTGTACAACCATCCCGTTCTTAAAATACTCATTTAAGATTTTGTACTTGAACCATTTTGAAAGCAAATATTGAAGTCACTTTCCTTTCGCATAGAAATAGAATACACATATTTAAAATAAAGTCATTCAAAATAACATTCATGGGTTCCAGAGGCAAATCTCTTACAGTGTGAATTACTGTGTCACTCTGGTAATATGGTAAATGAGGATAACTTCAAAGCCAGCCAGCAGAACCCACAATTTAAATGATAATGCCCCTTCATTGCCAGCATGCTTTCCCTTTGTGATTATTGGTAATGCAGTACAGGAAGGCACGTGGTGTCCAAGCAGCATCTATTCCTCCCTTTTGGGGGTCTAGGTGTTGGGAGAGGAGGTGAGAGAAGAGAGCGGAAAAGCTCTCCGTGGAGCAGAGCTCTCACAACACTTTTGCAGTCCAAAAGTTCACCTGGGTTGGGATCCTTTGAAACGTTTGCCTGGTGCCGACCACACCCTTCCAGGGCTCCGCTCTGCCCTTGCAGGCCAAGCACGTGTGCGGAATTGCATTGCTGTCACACGCAGCATCCCCTCTGCAGACTCTCATGTGGGATCACTGATGTGGCTTTTCCTCCCACGGTCCCTGCCTGGATTTATTACTAGCAGCTGCATCCCATGAGGGTGCGTCATGAGGGCTGGAGAGCTTCCCCTGCTTCAGCACTCTTGGTTTTGCCTTTCAGCATCCTGCAGTGGCATTGCTGCCTCCACCCTGTCTGCTACAGACTCGTCATAGGACGGTGGGGCCTCCGGGTGGGCAACACCTTCATCCTCAAATTCGAGACTCATCTCTGTATACGGAGGTGGAGGAACACCCGAGGTCTCTTGCTCTGCAGGACAGGCTTGCTTTTCAGCATCAAGACTCTCTTCATAAGCAGGAGGGTAAAAATCTGGCCTGGGGGACAAAATGCCACAAACATACATGTGTTATTTAAGCGGTTAATGCCAAAGAGGCATATGTCTGCCTCTCTCAAATCACATCGTGTGAAGTTAAACTGTTAAGAAACATTGATTCTGAAACAGATGTTCTTCCCTGGCATCACCAGTTTTTTAAAAATGTGCTGCTCTTCCAGCAAAACCCTCTTTATCAGCCATTGGATGTGTGCCTCTATACTCATATTTTTCCCATTGACTATTCCCTTTCTCTTACTCGTTGGAACCAGGGACTTTCAGTGTGAGATCCTTATCGGGGGTAGGGGACACGGGGGCCTTGACTGCGGAGCATCTCTCTACCCAGTTATTTAGTTCATTCACATCTTTGTCCCCAGTCACACACATCCTCTTCTCGATTGCACTCACTGCCTCAGATCCTCACAACCAACAAAACGGTGAATGAAAACCAGCTCCGTGAAGATTCCGGAACTATATCAGATGCTTCTCTCTTTCCTATCACTCTTTCAATCCGCCAGTCCGCCCCTCCTCCCACTGCCATACTTATTTCTCAAACTATTTCAACTGACAACTTTATGTAGATTTCAGTCGTGGTCCTTTCCATGCCAACAGGCCAACAGCTAAAGGAGCCATTCATGCCAGAGCTGATGTACTCATCGGTAATCTTGCCCAGTGTTGCTAATTGCTAAATCCTCTGGCTTCTCCGTCGTGAATGGGATTGGGGGTGGCGTGGAGAAGCGAGAGGGTGAGCTTGATTTAGTTGTGTGTTTATAGAGTGAGTCCTTCCAGTGCCTACAGGGAGTGTTTGTGGTATGTAACCACAACAGAACAGGGACTGCCATTTGTAGCCACAGCTCCATTCCAATGTTACCAGGCCCAAAACCAAAGAGCTGAAGGAGCCATCTACTGTACAGCATAAATCTCAGCCTTCACTCAGAATAGCCAAGGCTGTGCCATGGGGCACATGTGTAAAGGCATTGAAGACAGAAAGTTGAGCTGTTCCCTGGAGTGATTTGAGAGGCTCCAGGATGACTGCTGCCTGCCCCCATGTCCCATCCACTTCTCCCATCCCCCAGCCTCCCCACACTGCTTTGCATTCCCATTGTCCTGAATTCCACCATTGCAGACCCCTTTGGGTACCCATTTTGAATGCAAATGCTTCTGAGGAATGTAACTTAACCATTTACTGACTTACTAGCCATTCTGAGTGGGCTGGGCATCTATTAGATGCAGCAGAAAGAGGCAGTAAAAGGGAGGTGTTGTGATACCATAGTTTAAAGTATTTCAGCACAGCCAGTGCAATATTATGCATGTGTTAGTAAATTAAGCTACATCCTAAAGGCAATCAGTTATTCTTATCAGGAATTCACACTCTGGAGGCAATCATCTAACATTTATACCAAAAAAAAAAAAAAAAGAAAGAAAACAATCACTCTAGAAGCATCTTCTATAATCACTTCAGTTATCTTTAATTTTTTGTCAAACCCAGAGACCTTACAGTTAGTATAATAAACATTGGAAATGGCTTTTGGTCATTGTACTTAGTATCTTATTAATTAGCATAATCATGTCAAAAATCAACTGTCATGGATAAAAATCACTTATATTCAAGGTACATGGAGTAGCTAAAATATTGTTTGGCTAAAAAGTTCGTTCGGGGTTTTCCATAAGATGTTACAGAAAAACCTGAACAAACTTTTTGGCCACAACCCGATATCTTAGATGAAGAGAACAAAAGAATTTATGGAGTCTTGCAGACTGTACCTTAAGGATGATGCCTGAGGTTTTATCCCTAAATGATTCTGTGTTCAGCCAAAAATTAGGAGATTTTTGGTTGTCCGATACTTACCATAAGGTTGACTGAAATTTTTTTATTGTGGTAAAGTACATATAACATAAAATTTAGCACTTTAGCAATTTTAAGTGTACAGTTCAATGGTATTAAATACATTCACATCGTTTTGCAGCCATCACCATTATCCATCTTCAGAACTTTTTCATCATTTCAGACTGAAACTCTGTACTCATGAAACAGTAACTCTCCATTCCCTCCTCCCCTGGCACCTGGTAACCACTGCTGTACATTCTGTCAATGAATCTGACTGCTCTAGGTACCTCATATAAGTGGAATCATATATTATTTGTCTTTTGGGCTTATTTCTGGCCTATTTCACTTAGCGTATTGTCTTCAAGGTTCATTCATGTTATAGCTGCATCAGTATTTCCTTTCTTTTTAAGGATGAATAATATTCCATCTTTTGTACGTACCATATTTTGTTTATCCATTCATCCACTGATGGATATATGGGTTGTTTCCACAGTTTGGCTGTTGTGAAGAATGCTGCTATGAACACTGGTGTACAAATTTCTGTTCAAGTCCCTGCTTTCAATTATTTTGTCTATATACCCAGAGGTGGAATTGTTAGATCAAGTGGTAATTTTATATTTAATGTTTTGAGGATCCTCCATACCACAGAGCAGCTGCACTAGTTTGCATTCCCACCAGCAGAGCACAAGTTTTCCAGTTTTTCCACATCCTTGCTAACCTTGTTGTTTTCTGCTTTTTTGATAATAGCCATCCTAATGGGTATGAGGCAGTAAGGTTGACCAGTTATTACCTCTGGAATATGAGTGCCTTGTCTCAGGGAAATCTTTCATGCAATGTGTGATCAGAACACCTAAGAGTACAGAAAGCTGGGACTTCACTGAGTTCACGAAGAGATTATATAGCTGATTTTATGCTTGCTTGCTCATTTGTTGCGTGACAGAATTTGGTCTTGGACTTGCTTTCCTTACAACCTGGTAGCCAGGTTATGAGGAATAACTAACCATCACCTGCCTGTAAGGACAGCTCCCGTGATACAGCAAAAGAAAATGAGTCTGGCCTCTTAAATTGGCTTTGGTGTGTTTTTCAGTGGTGATGGGAGAAGGGTGGTTATCCTCTGGCATAAATCCCCTCTACTTCATAGTTTTCCCCAGAGGCAGCACCATTCTTCCTAATGTCTAATCCCAGAGTGATTCCCTGACAGTAAAGCTTCAGTTGTAGCCGCATAGCCCCATGGGACGTGTAAGTTGTTCGCCAGTGGATTGGAAGTCATTGACCTTTTCCGGAACTCAGCCCCACCTCAGTGCTCCCCAGTCCTCTGGCTTCTCAGCACGTACCTGTCCACTGTGGCCAGGGGCAGGGCCCCCTGAGCACCGTACTGTCTGAGCACACAGCTGAACACCCCTTTGCTTCCACTGGCCTGGTGGTAGGTGCTCCAGAAAATTCCACTCAGAAGGATCACAAACCCCAGAGGCAGAAGCAAATAGGCCAGGATCAGGTTCCCCTGGCAGTTGAACAGGGAGCCCGAGGAAATGAAGAAGGCCCCCAGGCAGATCATCAGGAAGCCCGTCAGGAGGGCAAAGGCACAGAGAACTAGACAGGTTCTGTTCTGCATCCCTGCTCCTTTGGAACGCAGCTCCCTGACGCTGCCACTCTCCTGCTTCCCCTGCTCAGAGAGAATGCTCTCATTAGCCAGCTGTCAGCTTTATATGCTCTGGGACCAACTGGCCTTTGGACAATTAAATGAAGCAGGCACTTAGAAGCTATTCATTAACTATTGAAAGTAACTGTAATATCCTTTGATGATTAACCTAAAAACGCAGCATTGGGCTTCCCTGGTGGCGCAGTGGTTGAGAGTCCGCCTGCCGATTCTGGGAAGATCCCACACGCCGCGGGGCGGCTGCGCCCGTGAGCCATGGCCGCTGGGCCTACGCGTCCGGAGCCTGTGCTCCGCAACGGGAGAGGCCACAGCAGTGAGAGGCCCGCGGACCGCAAAAACAAAACAAAACAAAACAAAAAAACCCGCAGCATTGTGTACTGCAGGAAGGGGTGGCATAGCTCTCTTGCTCTTCTGAGCTGAATGGGACCCTAGGCTGACCCCAGTTATTTGAGGGAAGGTCTCCCATCCTTTGATTAAAAGGGTCTCTTGATTCCCATCGCAGGTGATTCCAAACTAATGCTAGAGAAATTAGCATTCCTTGCTGAGCTCTTTTCTTTGTGGTTTGGCAGGGAGTCCTTTGCTAATTGCTTCTTCCTTTTTCTGTCCTAAAAAGATAATTGTTAAGGCTCTTACCGTATTTGTCTTGCTTCTCTCAGTGATTCTCCCTTTATTGCCCTCACATTATAATGTTGGAAAGATTCCATGAAAAAAGCCCAGGGGCGAACTCCCTGATTCAAAGGGGAGTGTCAGCAGGAGGGGGAAGAAAGTGCTATGGAGAAGGATTGTAATCGACAGATCTTCAGGACTGTGAGGGGATTTCTGAGGATGGTGTAAACGGTAATAATCTGGTGACTTCTGCTCTGAGTCTGATTTTGTATCTTTCCCATCTTTCCCATTGTCCCATTGTATCTTTTCCCATTTCCCCAGCCCCAATGCTGAAATAATCCTAGGGTCATTTCTTGTTCATAAGTAGGTGTTAGATACATTTTTTGCTTATTGCTCAACCACTGGCCACCGCACTTGGCTCAGTAGAAGTATTTAAACCAGATCTCACCGTTCCTGCTCTCAAAAAAGCCACAGGTATTTGATAAAAGAGCATTCCCTAAACATGTGTAGCATGTTTCCACCTCCATGAAAAAGAAATACATATGAGAAGTGCTGCCTGTTCAATCCTTACCCTCCCCGCAACATATCTTAGGCTTTCACAGAGCGCACTAAAATATTGAAGGCTCTGAAAAGTCCTACAATTTTTTTCCCTCACAAAATACATATTAAATGAAATTTGTTTTGGTAGATGCTGCTAAAATTGTTCCCTGTCTTCTCCTCTGTACCATTGCTCTATGCAGCACTGCCTTAAAAAAATCTTTCCAGGGCTTCCCCGGTGGCGCAGTGGTTGAGAGTCCGCCTGCCGATGCAGGGGACACGGGTTCGTGCCTCGGTCCGGGAAGATCCCACGTGCCGCGGAGCGCCTGGGCCCGTGAGCCATGGCCGCTGGGCCTGCGCGTCCGGAGCCTGTGCTCCGCAACGGGAGAGGCCGCAGCGGTGAGAGGCCCGCGTACCGCAAAAAAACCCCACAAAAATCTTTCCAGAACCAGCCTTCTGTTTTCTGTTTGGAATTGGTTTCTTCCATCTTGTCTGTCTTTGGTTTAGACACCCTACTCCAGAGCAGGTTCATGCTCTGATTCCTTCCTTTTTTATTTGATGCTTTGACACGTCCCTGCCAAAAGTCTCCTCCCAGAGGGACTCTGGATCACTTTTGTCCAGAAAGGTTATCTTCAGTTCCTCTTTGATACTCCATTACTGCATTACTATTCTTTTCCATTTTCTATCCCAATGGAAAAAGCAGTTCTTTGTGCAGTGCCCTAGTAGAAGTTTCATGTACACCCTTTCGCCTCATACCACCACCTCCTCAGCTCTACTTTCATGTTATGGGCTAGGAGAAAGAGAGAAAGTCACCAGATTAAAAAGAATATACAGGGCTTCCCTGGTGGCGCAGTGGTTGAGGGTCTGCCTGCCGATGCAGGGGACACGGGTTCGTACCCCGGTCCGGGAGGATCCCACATGCCGCGGAGCGGCTGGGCCCGTGAGCCACGGCCGCTGAGCCTGCGCGTCCGGAGCCTGTGCTCCTCAACGGGAGAGGCCGCAACAGTGAGAGGCCCGCGTACCGCAAAAAAAAAAAATAATGATAATAATAATAATATACAGTCCTTCCTCATTTCACCTCGTAACCTCTATCTTTATTAGCTTCAATCCTCATCGTCACCTACTTTCATCTTCTAATCTTGATATTATCCTTGTAGCCTTAAAGCAACCCCTTCTCCCTTTTTCTCCAACTGTTTCTTTTTTTTGCCATATTCAAAATTTTAATCAAATGTATGTTTACTTCCAGTATCTAACATGCCAATTTATATATACGTTTATTTTTTAATTTTTTTAACAAATCTTTATTGGAGTATAATTGCTTCATAATACTGTGTTAGTTTCTGTTGTACAACAAAGTGAACCAGCCATATGCATACATATGTCCCCATATGCCTTCCCTCTTGAGCCTCCCTCCCACCCTTCCTATCCCACCCCTCTAGGTCATAGCAAAGCACCGAGCTGATCTCCCTGTGCTATGTGGCTGCTTCCCACTAGTTAACCGTTCTACATTCGGTAGTGTGTATATGTCGATGCTACTCTGACTTCACCCCAGCTTCTCCCTTGCACTCCGTGTCCTCAAGTCCATCCTCTATGTCTACATCTTTACTCCTGCCCTGCCACTAGGTTCATCAGTACCACTTTTTTTTTTTAAGATTACATATATATGTGTTAGCATATGGTATTTGTTTTTCTCTTTCTGACTTACTTCACTCTGTAGGACAGACTCCAGGTCCATCCACCTCACTACAAATAACTCAATTTCGTTTCCTTTTATGGCTGAGTAATATTCTATTGTATATATGTGCCACATCTTCTTTATCCATTCATCTGACGATGGACATTTAGGTTGGTTCTGTGTCCTGGCTATTGTAAATAGAGCTGCAATGGACACTGTGGTACATGTCTCTTTTTGAATTATGGTTTTCTCAGGTATATGCCCAGTAGTGGGATTGCTGGGTCATATGGCAGTTCTATTTTTAGTTTTCTAAGGAACCTCCATATTGTTTTCCATAGTGGTATCAATTTACGTTCCCAGCAGCAGTGCAGCAGGGTTCCCTTTTCACCACACGCTTTTCAGGATTTATTGTTTCTAGTTTTTTTGATGATGGCCATTCTGACCGGTGTGAGGTGTTACCTCATTGTAGTTTTGATTTGCATTCTCTAATAATTAGTGATGTTGAGCATCTTTTCATGTGCCTCTTGGCCATCTTCCTTGGTGAAATGTCTATTTAGGTCTTCTGCCCATTTTTTAGCTGGATTGGTTGTCTTTTTGATGTTGAGTTCCATGAGCTGTTTGTATATTTTGGAGATTAATCCTTTGTCCAATGTATTTATTATTAGCATAAAGAATGTTGTGCATCCCTCAATGTGCAGTTCTTTGAGCACTTTCAGTTAAACTTACAGAGGAGTTCTTAGATTCAATTGGTCTTGAGGTTGACAGATTTCTAAAACGACCCCTGGAGATCCCTCCCTCCTGCTATCCATGTCCTCTTGAGTGTGGGCTGGACATAATGACCTGACTCTAACCAATAGAATATGGCAAAGGTGATGGGATGGTACTTTTTTTTAAATTTATTTTTATTTTTGCTGTGTTGGGTCTTCATTTCTGTGCGAGGGCCTTCTCTAGTTGTGGCAAGCGGGGGCCACTCTTCATTGCGGTGCGCGGGCCTCTCACTATCGCGGCGTCTCTTGCTGCGGAGCACAGGCTCCAGACGCGCAGGCTCAGTAGTTGTGGCTCACGGGCCTAGTTGCTCCGCAGCATGTGGGATCTTCCCAGACTAGGGCTCGAACCCGTGTCCCCTACATTAACAGGCAGATTCTCAACCACTGCGCCACCAGGGAAGCCCGATGGGATGGTACTTCTGTGATTAGGTTACAAAAGATTGTGACCTCTGTCTTGCTAGCAGACTCTCTCTATTTCCCTCATGGCTTGCTCTCTTTGAGAAGGAAGCCACCATATTGGAGAAGCCCACATGACAAGGCAGCTTCTGGCCGACAGTCAGTAAAGAACTGAGGCTCTTAGTCCCCCAGCCAGTGAGGAGCTGCATCCTGCCAATGACATGAAAGCCTTGCCCAGATGAGCCTTGAAATGACCAGACCCTAAGCAACACCTTGATTGAGAGAACTTGAAACTGAAGACCAGCCAAGTCATGGCCAAATTCCAGACCCATAGAAACTGTGAGATGATCAGTGTGTGTTGTTTAAGCTGCTAAGTTTTGGGGCAATTTGTTAGGCAACAATGGGTAACTAAAACAGTTCTTTAGGACTTGGAAACCAGAGGAGACAATTGGTTTTATGTGTTTACCCAGTACCGAGCACATAGAAAGTGCCCTATCAAAGTCAGCTATAATCATCCTCACCATTATTATTACTATCATCATTGCTGTACATCCAAAACTCTGGGAAAGACCCAGGATTTCCAACTGAAAGGTCTGCACTAGGACTTGAGTCCCAAGAACAGGTAAATGGTACAGCCCCCAAGCTACAATTAAGTATTAGAGTAAGGAGGGATAACATTCTCATTGAGAACTGCCCCCCAAGCGAGCGCATAGGGTTGGGCTTCTTTGTTTTAAACCAGAACTTGAGGATTAGTCAGTCTGGGCCTTATGACAGGTCAGGCCTAGTTCCTGGGATCACATGAATATCTGAGTGAGGAAGCACCTCTATGTTTTCTCTCCTCCAGTTCCAGTAAAGGGTAGCTAGTGCCTTATAGTTTGTCAGATAGGTTCTTCCTCTCCAACACCCTTTAAGGAGGTGTGTGTCATTCCAGAGCAGTGTATTTTGTTGTGGCAGTTGGTTTTTTGCTTCTTTGT